GACACACACACACACACACACACACACACACACACACACACACACACACACACACACACACACACACACACACACACACACACACACACACACACACACACACACACACACACACACGTCAGTCAGCTGAAGCGTGTCAGGAATCAGGGGGGGCTGGGGGGTTTGGGGTGAGCTGTATGAAATTCAAGTGTATATTCCTAATCAGGTGTTTCTAAATGGTCCGTCTCTAAACACACACACACACACACACACACACACGTGCTCCAGCGTTTGCTTCGCCACTGATATAATAGCTGAGGCACAGGGGATTGTGGGAAAGTGAGCGCTAAAGCTGCTTAGCGGCTAATAGAGATCAGTTTTCAGGATTAGGGCGACGGTGACCCTGAAACTCCCCAGCACGTGTCCTGCAGCGCACCGTAAGCTCACACACACACACACACACACCTGACGTGCAGCAGTTTGGCCGTCTGCACGAAGCAGGACTGGTCGGTCTCCTTCAGCACCTCCTGAGCGTATCCCACGAGGCCGCTGTTCTCCAGCATGCCCTGGTACTCCTCCACCTGCGCCCGCAGCCGCTCCACCCGCCGGCTCCTGCACTGCTGCACCGCCCACAGCATCTCCGCCCGCCGCTCCTGCAGCGCCACCTGCAGACGCTCGAAGTGCTCATTCGCACGCCGCTCCGCCAGCTGCCCGTTCTCCTGCGCATACAAACACACACACACACACACACAATTACACAAACCTGGTTCTGGTACAGCACTGACCTGCAGAGTTCAGCTCCAACCCAATCACACACACACACACACACACACACACACACACACACACACACACACACACACACACACACACACACACACACACACACACACACACACACACACACACACACACACACACACACACACACACACACACACACACACACACACACACACACACAGAGTCTGATCCAGCTCTAGACTCCGTGCTGGAGTGTGCAGGAGCTGAACTGGTCTGGGCACGGCTGACTCACGACTGGTGTGATGATCAGTCTGTCATTATCAGACGCTCCACCTGAACTCGGATTCTCCTTCAATAACACACACACTTAGGCCCAGTCCCAGTTCTCCCCTTCCCCACAGGCCTGGTTCTGCTGGTTCGTGTGAGGGGGTAGGGGTGTCCCACTTCTCTTCATCCTGAAGGAGGAGGGCTGAGGGAGGCTAGATCCCCCTTCTAATGGAGATTTTTCAGGAGCACACTCCAAACCAAGGGCTGAGAGCATTACCCAGAATACAGCAGCAGCATGCCTGCACACGGACGCCAGGAGATCCACAACTCAAGCACCTGATGAATGTCTTGATAACGGCGCTCGTCTTTTACCCTCATGCTTTAATAAACACTCCAATAAAGCCGCTAATGTGTCGATCTATAATCCATAATCACAGCTCCTGTAGAGCAGCAGCACAACACACGGACACTGCAGTGCCCTGTCAGAGCAGCGTCGTGTCTGTGATGAGCTGTGTTCAGCGTCTGCTGCAGTGTTGCTGCTGTTTCCTGTGTTTATATAGTGAATATGCACACAGTACACTGATGAGCTTATACACACATTATATCCTGATGATGATGATGATGATGATGATGAGGATGATGACAGCATTTCTGCCTTCAGTGACGTCCTGAAGATAAACACTAATAGATAACACCACTGCACTAACTCCAGCAGTCTCCTCATCTCGTATGAAGCAGGGGGTGATGGCGATGACGTGTGATGACGTGTGCAGGTGCTGTAGTGCTGACCCAATGCTCAGGGGAACATTTTTAAGCCCTTCCTCTGCACACTCGATTGTAAGGGCCAAGGGGAAGGGGAAGGAGTAGGGGTCCATAAACAGAATTGGGATTGGGCTGCCATGTCAGATTCTCTCTCTCACACACACACACACACACACACACACACACACACACCCCCGCTGCAGTAGTGTGTGCTCACCTCTGTGCTGCGCATGAGCAGCTCCAGCGCAGTAATCTGAGTGCGCACCTGCTCCTCTTTGCTGATCAGGTAATGGATGCTCTTGGAGAGTTTCTCCTGTGGACAGAAGCAGACGTCAGAGCGCAGCGGAGACACGCGAGACTCGACACCGCAGAGCATCACACAGCACAACACAACCATTACACTCACTTCTACAGCACTTCTCACAATCACGCTCTGAGCAAACATGCAGATCATTACAGCGAGCGGTGTCTAGAGCGCACATCACACACACTCCCTGTTCTCCTGCAGCTGTATAGTATTCAGGGTCCCTCCTCAAACAGCAGATGAATAATGCAGACACACTCCGGCCGCAGCGGTCTAGTGTTCTTGATGGACATTACAGGCTTTATTACAGCTCATCAATACTGCAGAGAACTCCGCACTGGAGACATCACCATCAACTGCGTCTGACACACACACACACACACACACACACACACACACACACACACACACACACACACACACACACACACACACACACACACACACACACACACACACACACACACACACACACACACACACACACACACACACACACACACACACACACACACACACACACACACACACACACACACACACACACACACACACACACACACACACACAGCAATCATCAATACCAGGGCCCGGTTTCAGAAAGGAGGTTAAGTGAAAACTCAGTATTTTAACCCTGAAATGAGAGAAACTCTGGGTTTTCCGTTTCAAAATGGCAGGTTTGTTAAACTGGAGAAAGCAGGGTAAGTCAAGCCTGTTTCTGAAAGAAAGGTAACTTTAACTCAGAGTCAGTTACTGTGGTCACTTACTCTGTGAATCTAACCTGGTCAGAAGCAGGTTTTATTCTCTAAACTCAGAGTTTCTGTCGGTCTCCTCCCCTTTTTTAAAGATGAAGCGGTATTTCTCGCCTAAGCCTTACGTTTCCACCCACCTATTTTAATGCTCATTTTGGATACGTGCATAAAAACGATTGATAGAAACGTCATGATGCACATAACTTTTTAAAATATGCATAAAAAACACACATAACTGAGTAGGATAAACTTTTATTCGATAGAAAATGTGCGCATAAACTACGATAGAAACATTTTTACTGAACAAATTACAGTATGTGCATTAAAAAAAGATCATGATCATATGATAATGAAAATGTGTGTGAATGGACAAACCAGCAGGCTGAGCACACTGTAACATGTCTTAAATATTGTTTTAGTCATTCTAAAATGCCTTAACTGTTTCAGTATTAGTGTATATTAATAATTACCTCCGAACGTCTGGAGCGTGTCAAGAGTCTCCGCGTCTCATGGCTTCAGACGCCCCCACGTGTTCATTGTGTTTCAGCATTGTCTTCTGACATCGAGGCGCAAGTACATTAATTATGCTAAATAAAGAATTAATTGACGCAGCTTCTTCTACCACAGTAAATTCTGTTTTTACTGTTGATATTTGGTGCCAGTTTAATCAGGAAGTGACAATTTTTTTCTCTTTGACTCGTTGGATGGAATTTTATTCGCATCTTTTATACAATATTCCAGTTTTGCACATAAACTTATGTAATAGATTTGGATGGAAACATAGCTATTGCCTATAGTCACACACAGAAGAACTGTACAAGAATGGCTTATACTTTTTTAATAAATAATTAAATTAAATTCACCTTCGACATGCATGTAACTAGATTAATGGGATTATTATTCTTTCTAAAAATTATTTTTAGTACTGCTTACCTTCTAAATGTTATATTAACCTCTATCAATTGATCAATAAAAAAGGCAGACACACAAGTGCACTGTTAAATCATTTAAAACTAAAATGTATAAAAAAGTTTAGAAAAAAAATATAAACGTCACAAATTGCATTACTTATTTTATTATACTTAAATATTTAAATACTTAAAAAGTGAAATTAGGCATTAACTTGAGCAGCTGTTTTCCCACGCTAACTGTCTCTTCTTCACTGATGGTTGCTTCTTTTCAAATATATACGCTCATATTTGCTATAACTTTGCATGAGAACATCAAGTTCAGCTGGAGAAAGAAATGCTGATCTCTTTTATAACATATTGCCATAGTCACTCGTAATGTCTGTGCTCCATTGATAATGCCTTTTTAAAGTCACGGTGTGCGCGCTTGACTCTGAGTTGGTCTACTCGAAGTTGATTGACCCAACTCAGATCAGCTGTTCTGAAACCGAAAACTCAGAGTTTTTAATCTCTCGGTAAATCAACTCAGAGTTCAAGTTTAAACTCCGAGTTGTTTGAACCTCCTTACTGAAACAGGCCCCAGGATAAATGTATCTGTGTCCACAGACGAACAGCAGCGCTGCCAGATATCAGACGCTTCCTCCTTTTCTTTAAGAGTTTCTTTTACATTAAGAGTCGTGTTCTGGAGTCTGAGAGCACTCTCTCCTGCTCATTCTAGGAGGATCACCATCATTCCTCACAACTCCTACAGCATCACACCATCAAGAACCTGCGCTCTAGCATGCTAACAGCTGAGGGAACACTACTGTAAACACTGACAGACAATCATACAGGCCAATACCATCACCAACAGACTATAACCATGAGCAGTGTGTGTGTGTGTGTGTGTGTGTGTGTGCACTCATATGATTACTGCTGTTCTGATGCTCTTTATGAGATGCATGAATGCACATCTCTAACTATTCTCCCTAATGAGATGCACATCTGTAATTCTCTTAATGAGATGCTTGAACACACATCTGTAACCATTTCCCTCTCGGCTAGCAGATGCAGACTCACTGCTCTCGGCTAAACATCACACGCACGCATGCGCACACACACAGAGGAGGTATCAATGATGATAATAATAATAATAATAATAATAATAATAATACATTATTAATACTATTACAATTAGTACAATATAGTAATAACATAAAAAAATGCTGTGAGAAAAAACCTTGCTATGTCAAGGTTAAAAACAAACAACAGCAAAAAAAAAGTTCTCCAGCAAACACGCACGCACACGCACGCACACACGCACGCACACACGCACGCACACACACACACAGACACACACACAGACACACACACAGACACACACACAGACAGACACAAACACACAAATACTATATATATATATATATATATATATATATATAGTTACTGACAGACTCTGTGTGTTTCTGCTGTAAATAAATGTGTGTGTGATTCGGGTCGCCACACCTTCAGGATCTTGTACGCGCTGCTCATGGAGGTCACCCTGTGGTTGGCATGAGACCCGCCCAGCTTGCAGAGGTGGCAGACGGGCCGCCGGCAGACCTCACAGTACATGTTCACCTTCTCCATCTCATGCTCCGGACACATCAGAACCTGCACAGAACCAGAGTTACTATGGACTGCCGTGTGAATGACAAGGGTTACTATGGGCCGCACCGTGCATGACGAGGGTTACTACGGGCTGCAGTGTGAATGACGAGGGTTACTATGGGCCGCAGTGTGAATGACGAGGGTTACTATGGGCCGCAGTGTGAATGACGAGGGTTATTATGGGCCGCAGCGTGAATGACGAGGGTTATTATGGGCCGCAGTGTGAATGACGAGGGTTACTATGGGCCGCAGTGTGAATGACGAGGGTTACTATGGGCCGCAGTGTGAATGACGAGGGTTATTATGGGCCGCAGTGTGAATGACGAGGGTTATTATGGGCCGCAGCGTGAATGACGAGGGTTACTATGGGCCGCAGCGTGAATGACGAGGGTTATTATGGGCCGCAGTGTGAATGACAAGGGTTACTATGGGCCACACCGTGCATGACGAGGGTTACTACGGGCCGCAGTGTGAATGACGAGGGTTACTATGGGCCGCAGTGTGAATGACGAGGGTTACTATGGGCCGCAGTGTGAATGACGAGGGTTATTATGGGCCGCAGTGTGAATGACGAGGGTCACTATGGGCCGCAGTGTGAATGACGAGGGTTATTATGGGCCGCAGTGTGAATGACGAGGGTCACTATGGGCCGCAGTGTGAATGACAAGGGTTATTATGGGCCGCAGTGTGAATGACGAGGGTCACTATGGGCCGCAGTGTGAATGACGAGGGTCACTATGGGCCGCAGTGTGAATGACGAGGGTCACTATGGGCCGCAGTGTGAATGACGAGGGTTACTATGGGCCGCAGTGTGAATGACGAGGGTCACTATGGGCTGCAGTGTGAATAACGAGGGTTACTATGGGCCGCAGTGTGAATGACGAGGGTTACTATGGGCCGCAGTGTGAATGACGAGGGTTACTATGGGCCGCAGTGTGAATGACGAGGGTTACTATGGGCCGCAGTGTGAATGACGAGGGTTACTATGGGCCGCAGTGTGAATGGCGAGGGTTATTATGGGCCGCAGTGTGAATGACGAGGGTCACTATGGGCCGCAGTGTGAATGACGAGGGTCACTATGGGCCGCAGTGTGAATGACGAGGGTCACTATGGGCCGCAGTGTGAATGACGAGGGTCACTATGGGCCGCAGTGTAAATGACGAGGGTCACTATGGGCCGCAGTGTGAATGACGAGGGTCACTATGGGCCGCAGTGTGAATGACGAGGGTTACTATGGGCCGCAGTGTGAATGACGAGGGTTACTATAGGCTGTCTCCTCACCTTGGGCCTGAAGTTGGTGGTGGGTCCCACATACTCGTGCTGGGCGCGGGGCGTCCCCCAGGGGTGGTGCAGTTTGAAGCACTCGTTGCAGAAACTTGCCTTGCAGTCCATGCAGCTCTTGGTGGCCTCCTGCGGTGGCGGCTTACACACTCCACACATGATGGCCACGGCGGCGCGTGCCGCCTGACGGTAGCGCTCAACGATGCTCTCCAGAGTGAAGTTCCGGAACAGCATGCTGATGCCGCGCTCACCGAGGTCGATGTCGTGCTGGCAGCCCGGGCACGGGAAAGAGGTGACACGGGGAGTCACAGAGGAGCGTCGCCATCCCGGAGAGCAGATGGAGCCTGACACACACATACACACACAATCAGAACACAGCTGCAGGTAAAATATGCACACACACACATGCACTTATACAGACATGCGTGCGCACACACACACACATGCACTCAGTCACACACATGAACAACACCCATACACACACTATAGATTTTTTGAGTTTGACATAGCTTCTCTGGCTAGACACACAGCGAGCGCACGCACACACACGCACACACACACACACACAGCAGCGGTTCATTGAGGCGTGGGGTGAAGCTCAGTGTTAGTAAAGCTGCGGTGCGTCACTCCTGCTCCTGTCGTGCCAAACTGCAGAGGTGATTCATCAAACACTGCTCTGTGATTGGTCAAACACACAGCCCCACCTCAGAGCCGTCTGATTGGCTGAGTCAGAGGGTGACATTTATCATGAAGGAGCGGCAGCGGTTTAGGAGCAAATTAGTGACTTAATTAACCAAATTAACCACAACTTCACACACAAACACACACACACACACACACAATAATTATTTTAAATCCAGGTCCTACATCACGCAGCTTCTACATCAGGAACACCCTAACAGCGACCCTCATCTCCTGAGAGCGTGTGTGTGTGTGTGCGTGTGTGTGTGTGTGTGTGTGTGTGTGTAGCAGACGACTGACTTCCAGGTGGGAAACGGCAGGTGAAGATGCTCTGCTGATGAGATCATGAGAACACTTCCCACCCCGTAACCCAGCACTGCATCAGCCCTCTGTTCAGGCCTAATGCTGGACATCTCCAGAGTCTGGAAATTTCACACACACACACACACACACGCACGCACACACACACATGCACGCACACGCACGCACGCACGCACACACACACACACACACACACACTGAGACACATGAGAGACGGAGAAAGCACAGAGCAGACACAAACACACACGCAAACACACACATACGTGCAGCACAGATGGAGCAGCGCATGCCTGGCGTTTGGGTCAGGTTGGGCATGGGTGTGTGTGTAAGTGTGAGTAAAGTGTGTACTGTGTGTGTGTGTGTGTGTGTGTGTGTGTGTGTGTGTGTGTGTGTGTGTGTGTAGTGCTGCATGCTGAGAGCTGAAGCAGCCGCAACCAGACAGAGGAGAGAAAACACCAGCCGATCCGGACCCTCGACACACGGCAGGACTCTGACAGGATGCTCACGGGGCGCTCGCGGACGGAGCAGCGGCTGCAGAAACATCCAGAGCCGAACCACCACTGGACCAATCCAGCTCCACAAGAGCACATCAGCACAGGCGGAGGAGAGCACCGAGCCTCAGGGGTGATGATGAAGGCCAGATCCGGGATCTTCGTGTGTGTGTGTGTGTGTGTGTGTGTGTGTGTGTGTGTGTGTGTGTGTGTGTGTGTGTGTATGGGCTGTTGTATTTATTTTGTGTGTGAGGATCATCAACAGCTCACAGCACTACAGTCTGGAGCTCCACTGCCGACCACACACACACCACAGATGAATGTGCACCAGTCAGGGGGTTTATCCTTCAGCCTGTGTGTGTGTGTGTGTGTGTGTGTGTGTGTGTGTGTACTGAGCACCACAGCGCCCCCATTCAGCATCGGTCAGTACTGCAGGCTCCGGCTGTGTTCAGAGTCAAGAAGAATCTGCAAACTTCCACAAGCAGAGAGCACAGCACACAGGCTAACACACACACACACACACACACACACACACACACACACACACACACACACACACACACACACACACTACGGCTAATGCCACCAGACCCACATCTACCTCTCCCTCCAAATGACCTCCTCAGCGCGGCTGCAGCGACACAGAAGACAAGCATGAGGAAACAGAAGTGCAGTGAACACACACACGAACACACACACGAACACACACACACACACAACCACACACACCTGCAGTCCAGGCTAGCGCAGGAGCACTGAAACACAAACTAGCTTTATGAGGACAGACCTGCAGCTCCTGCACACCGGCTGATCAGCACACTGACCATCAGCAGCGGCTCTCTCACACACACACACACACACACTAAACCGTGTGTGTGTGTGTGTGTGTGTGTGTGTGTGTGTGTGTGTAGTGGATAATGCCACACTCGTGTTCTGGAGTATTTCTGCTCTTCTACTGGCAGAGGGATTGTGCTGCTTCACGCTGCGCAGACTCTGAACATCAGCGACCTGCAGCCGGTGTGCACGAGCCTCAAGGAGCCCCAAGGACACACACACACACACACACACACACACACACACACAGGGTTGATAAACAAGACAAACACCATAAACAACTCTTGAGGACTCCTGAGCACACACACACCTCACCTGAGCGTGCACACTAACACTCCTCACCTGAGCGTGCACACACACACACACACATCTCACCTGAGCGTGCACACTAACACTCCTCACCTGAGCGTGCACACTAACACTCCTCACCTGAGCGCACCAGCTTGTCCAGGCCGGGCGAGGGCACTCTGGAGCGTGGGCTGCCCGGGTTGGAGCTCTCGGAGCCGGCGTCGGTGCTGAAGGAGTCCTCATGGTTGGGGAACAGCAGCTCCTTGACGCAGCGGTGGCAGATGCTGTGCTGACAGGGCAGGATGAGCGGGTGTGTGAACAGCTCCTTACAGATGGGGCAGATCAGCTCACGCTCAATACTCTTCATCGGCACCTGAGCGTGCACACACACACACACACACACACACACGCACACACACACACGCACACACACACACGCACACACACACACACACACACACACAGAGAGAGAGAGAGAGAGAGAGAGAGAGAGAGAGAGAAAGGGAAATCACACACAACTATGAGTCCCTGCCGAACAGTAAGAACCTGCCCATCTTACTGGGTGTGTGTGTGTGTGTGTGTGTGTGTGTGTGTGTGTGTGTGTGTGTGTGTGTGTGTGTTAGCAGCTCAGGTTCTGTACTCCTGCCACCGCCTGAGGAACCAACAATGATCCTCTCCACTGTATCCAACACACAACTGGAAGTGTTGACTTGTGGACTGACTGTTCATCACCTGTACCCTGCAGTATTGCTCACCTTTACTCTACTCTTACCGTCTTTCTCTCCGCGTTTCTCGGTATTTTACACGGTCTGCTCTGCTCGGGCCAATACAGCGCCTACATGTGAATGAGAGATGCAGATACACACATGCACTGAGGTCGTGTGTGTGTGTGTGTGTGTGTGTGTGTGTGTGTGTGAACATCACACACACGTGCAGAGAAGACACACACGGAGACAGACAGACGATACACACACGCTAATCAGTCAGTAATGGATCCGTGCCTGATCAGCTGATCTCCGCCGTTTGGGGAAGTGTCCTCTTTCCTCCATTGTTCACTTCGCCTTTTTCCTAAGTGCACTTGTTCGCCGCTGTGATGAAGTTGGCCGTGTGTGTGTGTGTGTGTGTGTGTGTGTGAGGCCTATAAACTGCACATTTCTGAAATACGGTAACGTTAACAGAGCAAACACGGTAAACAGCGGCTTTACCGGCGGGATGAGGATTGAGGAGAACCGGTGCGGACTCGGGAACTTACTATGAGTGAGCTCCGCCTGGACATGATGGCAGATTCAGCACAGACTCCGCCGTTCTCCGGTCAGCTTCACGGTAAACTTCTGAGGAAAAGTGTCGGTAAACTCCCGCCTCTCGAGCGACAACTTCGACAATGAACCGGGCGGCGCGAGTGACCGCCGTTAATGCGCGCGGCCGAGGGGCGGGGCCAGAGCCCGTGACTATAGCAACCCTGCAGCGAAACTATTTAGTATTTAAATAAGGGGCGGGGTCCGAGACGGGCACATTAATGCACGACGCGATTATTTCCACGTCGGCGGTTAAACGCGCGCTTTATTACAATCAGAATGAAGCGTCCGAGGGCGGAGGAGTGACGTCACGGGGACGCGCGGATCCGTCATTGTGTCTGACACCGAGCATCTGCAGAGAAACCGATCTGATCATCAATGATCGATCAGCTGGATCATCACAGCACTGACACTGACACTGACACTGACCTCTCCTCTGTCGAGGCGCTCCACGAGACTGGCGAACTCCGACATCTCCGAGTCCGACATGCTGGAGCTGAGGATGATGGAGATGGAGATGAAGATGGAGATGATAAAGATGATGATGAAGAAGATGAAGATGACCGCGGCGTGTGTGTGTTCTCCTCCTCTGACCCTCCGCTCCTCCACAGCAGCTCCTTCATTCACTCCCGGACACAACAGACTCCGCCCACTGCCGCTCGGTGGGCGTGGCTCCGGTGACTGACGGCTCTTTGTGTAGATCTGACAGCTCATTAAAGTTTGATCATCATGAGCTGGAGGCGCGCGCGCGCGAGTGTGTGTGTGAAGGGGAATAATAATAATAATAATAACAGTAATACTGTAGATCAGTGGTTCTTAAACTGTAGTACGCGGGCTGCCTTCTAGTGGTACGCAGAGTAATCCAACATGTCATATGTACATGCAACATATGTTTAAACATGTATGAAAAATGGTTCATATACGAATATGAGGACATAAAGCCTATATTTATGAGGTCCAGGCAACATCTCCAGGTGTTGATGAACAGCACACTTCAGGTTAACATTTAGCATTTAAGCACAGGAGATTTTTAAACTTTTTAAGAACAGTAGTCTACCATCTAATGACCTTTTAGCAGCACATTTCAATTTAAACGTGGACATTTTAGCACAGCAGTGTTCGTGTTCAAACCGTTTATCAGGTTTAAAGTGGCCGATAATAATAATATTCTTTATCATGTAATGAATCTTGCACATTATTAAACTGCAGAGCTGTGGCTGCTGAATCGGCTTGTTACACTGCAGCAGTTCAGCAGCCACAGCTCATTATGCTGGAACCGGGAGGGACAGTCTGTTTCTGAGGGGAGCGTCATCAATAAAGTTGGAGAAGCGCTGCTGTAGATGACGGAGACTCCTGCTGCAGCTCAGGGCCAGTTCCTCTGACAGACACGCTTCACCAGCCCGAACACACACACACACACACACACACACACACACACACACACACACACACACACTCGCTTCACTCTTATATCCATTACTGTGAACAAGACACACAGTACTTACAAACAAGTGTATGTGTGTGTGAAAGGTTGAGTGTTTGTGGGATTGAGTGTGTGTGTGTGTGTGTGTGTGTGAAAGATTGAGTGTTTGTGAGATTGTGTGTGTGTGTGTGTGTGTGTGTGTGAAAGATTGAGTGTTGTGAGATTGTGTGTGTGTGTGTGTGTGTGTGTGTGTGTGTGTGTGAAAGATTGAGTGTTGTGAGATTGTGTGTGTGTGTGTGTGTGTGTGTGTGTGTGTGTGTGTGTGAGGGGTAAATCAGCACAGTAAATGAGAGCACTGCGGTGTTTTGCAGCAGGATGAGCTGGAGTAAATCAGAAACTCAGGCTGGAAACTCACTCTGCTTTATTAGCTGCTATTACACACACACACACACACACACACACACACACACACACACACACACACGGCTCCAGCATAGTCTCACTCCTCACACATGATGACAGACGAGCCGTGTCGCCGTCACCGCTGCGCTTCACGTTATAGTACAAATACGTCCATTATCTGATCCTCGACACACACTCGCATGTCTTCAGTGTAGATGTGGTGTGTGTGTGTGTGTGTGTGTGTTCATTATATCTGCATCTGCAAGAGATCTGAGGCACATGAAGAGGACACTGCAGGAACACACACTCAACAGGACAGAAACACTCTGCGGCCGCGCCTGTGTGTGTGTGTGTGTGTGTACAGTAGAGCACAGCTATAGAGTGCAAACACTGCGCTGGACTGTAGGTGGCGTCGGCGTGTGCGTCTGTAAGGCAGAGTCCAGCACTGATGATGATGATGATGATGAAGCTGATCCTGCAGTGGCGGAGGGCGCTGGCGTGATCAATAATTCATCATGCTGGGTGTGTGTGTGACTGTGAGGTATCAGAGCTGGACAGCGCAGGGGTCAGGGGTCACGTGCGGCTCCGCCTCCAGCACTCGTGCAGCCGCCGCAGACTGTCGGACGCCCGCAGGCTGATGTTGAGCGCCGCGTGCACCGGCTGCAGACCCGCTTCACCCATCAGGGACAGACCACAGATGCCGAAGTAGGTGTGGAGAGGGTCTACACACACACACACACACACACACACACACACACACACACACACACACACAGGTCAGTAAAACACCACTGCGCCTTTAACAGCTCATTAATTATTCACGCTGACCTCATTACAACCCTGTGATGTCATCAGTCTCTCTCCACCTCCAGAAGGTGTGTGTGCACAAAATCAGCTGCTTTGTGTGTGTGTGTGCTCCATTATTGATGTGTTTGAGCATTAGCCCTCCTGCACGGTTCTGATCAGCTAATATCTGTGTTATCCTCCAGTCATGAGTGTGTGTCGGGTTACTGCTCTCACACAGGTCGTGTCGGTGTCCTGCGCTCATATTTAGTCTCTTTATGCGTGTGCGTAACTCAATATTCCCCCGTTCACGTCTGCAGAGCGGGATAAAGCCCAGCGGATGCGGAAATAAGGTCAGCGTGATTATCAGTCATGGAGAGAGAATGGAAAACATCAGAGCCTCAGTAACTGGAGACACACACACACACACACACACACACACACACACACACACACACACAGCTCTACAGGATCGGCTTTCTCTGCGGTTTCGGCTGACGATAAACAGAACCGCTGTAATCTCACCTGGGTGACTGTCGGGCCATTTAGCGAAGCCGCCCACCAGCCGGTCCTGAGTGGACAGAATATAGTTCCGGTTCTTCTCAAAGTTTGTGTACTGGAACACATCCAACAGCTGTGGAGACAGAGAACACACACACACACACATCAGTTTATTTGCGCTGCAGTAATCTGTGTAGTCGGTTATTAACAGTAGAGCACTCCTTTACTGCACTGTAATATAGCCTCCATTATTGACCTTATTTGGGATGGTTGTGAATATTAATGAGCTCTGCTCTGATGCAGCTCTCACACACTCAGTAAGCTGCTTTGCTGCAGAGTTCAAACATACTGACACTGAACTGGACACACACACACAGACACAGACAAACACGCACGCACGCACAAACACACACAGAGAGACACACAGAGACACACACACACACACACACACACACACAGAGACACACACACAGACACACAAACTCACACACACTTACACACACACACACACAGAGACACACACACACAGAGACACACACACAGACACTCACACACACACACACTTACACACACACACACACACCTGCAGCGTGGCCCCGACCCAGAAGGAGTAGCAGGTGTCCACAGGTTTGTTGGGTCGTCCCTGGAAGCCGTTCTGCTGTCGGAGCACACACCAGCGGCGCAGACGACCCAGCTCACGCTCGCTGAACACCTCCTGCAGCTTTCCCATCATGCACAGCGACGCCACGGCACAGAAGGTGGAGCCACCTGAGAACACACACACATTGTACCCCTAAAAACACTCACGGTGTGTGTGTGTGTGTGTGTGTGTGTGTGTGTGTGTGATACAGTAGAGTGTCAGACTCACCGTGAGACTCCAGGCCGGCGCCCTGCCCGATACCGAAGTCAAACGACTGAAGAAGAAGAAGAACAGCAGTCAGTGAACACACACACACACACACACCTGGACCTCTGACCCCAGCATTAGTCAGAGCAGCTCCAACATTTCTCTGATGATCTCTGTTTTTGGTGGAGGATTTCAGGATCTCTTGATTACTCAGAGAATAGAGAGTAATGTGGTGAAGCTCCAGCGTGCGCTCGCAGTAGACTGATCTCAGTGTGCAGTCTGTGGTTTTACGAGACTTCGTATACGCAGCGCAGCTGAGAGCTGAGCATCCCACATCCACACTCCAGCTACAGCATCAGTCCAGCACGTGTGTGAGTGAGAGTGGAGTCTCTGATGGACACATGACTGCAGCGGCGCCGCTATATACACTGGATATACTACACTAATGTTTCCTTGCTCTCTGTGTGTTGGCAGTGTGCATGACTGATGTGTGCTGGGTTAATCAGCTCCTCCATTAAACAGCGGGGGCTTCAGTGATCTCATGGTCAATCCGGTTCTGCTGTCGACTCACGGCCTGCTCCTCAGCTGGTAATCTCCTCTGGTGTAATCTGGACGGTTCAGATCTGCTTCATAAGTGGTTTAGACCAAAATAAAGCAGCTCTGCTGTTATGATGTGTGTTATTGTGTCTGACTGCACAGCTAACAGAGGAACCTACCCAATACAGTCAATAAGTGCTGTATAGACGCCGCTACACCACCCAAACTGAGTGACGGCTTCAGGCATGCAGTTCACCATCAACACAGATGTGCTCCTCCTCATCTAAATCTCAGTGTATTCGCAGATCACCGACTGTTAGCACAAGCGCTAAACGCCGCCTGCCTTTCACAGCTAAAGCCGCGATATCCCGAGAACCAATCAGAAGCGTGAATCGAGTCATGTGTGTTCAGTGTAGCAGCGCGCTGATGAGCCGTCCCCGTGACCCTTACGTCACCATGGAGATCAGAGACTCCTGCGTGACCTCTGACCCCGGCTGACCCTCTGTGCTGAAGGTCAAAGGTGATCAGGTGATCATCGGCACCGCTAACATGAGAATCTAAAGCTGCGTCCCAAATCGCATACTTGTGCACTATTCTACGCCATTAGCCGCGTTTCCACTATCGCGCCTAAAGCGAGCGAGCCAGGGCGAGCCAAGGCCAGTGGGGTTTCCACTGTCACTTCCGGGGCCTAATCGGGCCAAAGCGGGGCTTTCTCGGGGCCAGCAGCCGGCCTTTTTCGGCCCGCCGAATACCTTGGGCCAAGGAGTGCCAGCTGGGGCTTCGGGGCGGAGTGAAAGGAGAGGCGGGCAGTTTTCTGATCGCACATGAGTACATGCGCCAAACACATAAAGAAATAAGGGAAAGAAAACATCTAGCCTTATAGTCTGGGGTCTTTTTGCGTATGATCACCCTTATGTTTCCCTTTTAAATGTAAGGCTGCTGCATAAAATGATAAAGTAGTTTTAATTTATAGTGACGTTCTTTGCTGCGTCCTCCTTTATGTTTCAATAACGCATAATAATCATTACACCATATTAAAAACACATCAGACAGTAAAGGTTTTCGAGAGTTTTTGTCAAGTTTAAAATGTTTGTTTGTTTGTGCACGTTTAGATGCCTGTATGTGTGTGTGAGACCGGGAAAAAGCGCTCCTTCACAGCTCTGTTATGCCGCGAGCGGCTTTTTTCTTTCTTTATTTTGGAGATAATACACATATAAATACAACAGAAAGACATAAACTTAACAAATTACGCGCCCACTTTCGTAGACTTTAAACAATATAGTGTCATATCCTGATAAAATAGCCTAAGCTATATTGAAATATAATTTAAAGAATTACAAATATCGGATATATATAAAATCACATTAAATAAATTAACCAATATAAAATAAACAAAAGCTAGCTGTAACAATGCAGGTAGCCTATATACAATCCATAAATCAAACCGTTTTAAACCCACATATAGCCTAACTTTCATTTTGCAAAGACCTGTCTGAAAAAAAAAAAGATTTTTGATATTTTTTAAAAACAATAAACACTGGAGAAGGTTTGAAATATTTATATAAAGTAAATATTTATATAAGTAAATATTTATAAAGTATTTGGATACGATGATATTAATCAAATCGCGCAAACAGAGCATTATTTGAGTGAGTGAAAGCAGAATCTCCTATACCTTTTTTTCTGTCACTCAGTCCTGCGCAGCACTCGCTGCTTTAAACGCATCGGGGGAAGTCCAAACACAGAATGTGTTCTATATCCTCAAACAACTGTTTATGTTTTTATATGACGTGGTTAAATTTATAAATGAAACTTTAAATGAGGAGTTTTAGTGAATAGCTGCTGAGTGCAACAAATATGTCTATATTTTATTAGGCTTCTCGCTCTTGTGCTGAAAACTTAACACGACTTCTATCAACACGAGGATGTTAAAAAATACATGCCATATCGAGTTATAAAGGAGAATTTCTGTGGCTTTATATTTTGGATGTGTGCGCTCTCTGTGTTGGGTCCCTGCGTTAGTGGCGAGAGCACTCCATGCACAATGCAGTCGGTCGGCGAGTAAACAAATGTAATGAATGGAAATACACAGGTCTGTGCGTATAGACATATAATGTACTGCTGTACAGTAACGTGTCGTTTGTTTGTTTCGGTTGTCTTCATTTTAATGGTTTCGTTTCGTGATGATTCTATGGTGTGCTTTATCTGCCTCATTCCCACTGAAGTGGGCGGGTTGTGTGACGTTTGATTCGGGGACGTTCTGGGGGCGGTGTTTGCGTGACGCGCTGTGAGCTTTAGCCCGCCAGTGGAAACGCGACATGATTTCAGCCTCATTTCTCAACCTCCCGGGCTATTGGCCCGGCCCGGCCCGATTAAAGCCCTGGCTCGCACTGGCCCGATAGTGGAAATGCGGCTATTGTGTAGTATAATAGTGTGAGTAGTGTGTTCACACTGAAAACTCTAACAATGATAAGAGCACTTCAGTTACCCGGGTGCTGCACTCATTCAGCTGCTAAAGTGAAGTGTGTAATGTTGGACACTACACACACTCAGCGGCCGCAGGTTTGCTCACGTAGCGGAAGGGGCGGAGCTATCGGGCGCACATGCTGGATAACTGTATTGATTTTGGATGGTGACAGCAGAATTCCCCTGCGAGAGTGATTATAGCGCCTCCCGATGGTGAATGCGGCTATACTCACGGCAGGTGTTATCTGATAATTCAGTCGTTTATTTCACTGATTTGGAGACTGTCAGGGGAACAGGTTGATGTCCGCTTATTAAAAATACATTAGTGCTCCATTTGGGACGCTGCTGCATGCATGTACTGTACTGCTGAGTGTGTAAGTGCAGAAGTACATAGTGCATGAGTGTGCCATTTGAGACGCAGCTTAAGAGTCGAGTAAACAGGAAGTGACTGAGCTGAACAGGAAGTGTCTCACTGTGCTCCTGCGGATGTAGTCGATGGTCTTCTGCCGGTCCATCCCGCTCCAGTCGTCCAGCATGAAGCAGATGCAGGCGGCGCAGTAGACGAAGCGCATGTCGTTCTCGCTGCCCTCGGGCACGGCGTAGAAGCTGCAGAGCAGAAGCAGAGTGAGCGCGGGCATGCGGCGGGGGAGAGCAGTCATGCAGACGTTACCTGCCGTCCTCCAGCTGCAGCGCACGCAGCCCCGACACACACGCGGCCCGATCCACACGGCCCAGATCATCACCCAAGATCAGCAGACACGCCAGCCCGGTGTAGGTCATGGTCACGTGCCCACTGTCATAGGGGTGAGGAGCCCCGGGGCCCTGCGGAGATCAGGAGCACAGCTGGGTGACACACACACACACACACACACACACACCAGCACCGTATATCCTGCACATGAGTGACGGCAGAGCTGCAGACTCCGGGATCTCCTCACCTCATCACTAGAGCCCGGCGGCATCTGCAGGCATTTCTGCTGCTTTATTAATAATCTACTGCTGCAGGATGATTTTGAGATTGTCGTAACTAAATCCTCAATATATGAATAATTAGTAATACCTTCTTAACTTGAGTTTAATGTTTAAACTGCACATCCAATTACATCCACTTTATTTGATAAACAAAGCAAGTGATCAGTATCAGACAGAATATGACTCTATAACCTGCACTGTCAATAATCATGTTAATATTATAATAAGTGTATAATCCAGCAATGATACATGCTGATAACCAGACAGAGGGAAGAACTGTCACACTCTGTGTGTGTGTGTGTCCTCTACTGTTTGATATTGTGTGTGTGTGTGTGTGTGTGTGTGTGTCCTCTACTGTTTGATATTGTGTGTGTGTGTGTGTGTGTGTGTGTGTCCTCTACTGTTTGATATTGTGTGTGTGTGTGCGCCCTCTGCTGTATGCTAGTGGTCCTGCAGCACACACAGATTCTCCGCACCTTAGACGAGCTGTAGGGAACACCAATGTGGGAAGATCCTCTGAAGCCACAGCGCTGGAGATTCGACTCTGAGGATGGAGAGAACACACACACACACACACACACAAGAAATGAATAAAGAAAATGTGTGCACACACATAACAAAAAGAAAACACAAACACACACACACACACACAATGAAGAGAACACACACACACGATGAATAGAAAACACACACATGCACATACTGAAAAGAACACATACATACACACACACACACACACACACACACTCATGATAAAGAAGGGAGACAGACACACACATGCACGCACGCGGTGTGTGGACTCACGGTCAGCGGTGGGCAGGATCTGCAGAGAGTAAATCCACTCGATCAGACTGTGTCTGTCCACAACATCCAGAGCGCCCAGAACATCCAGACCCGACAGAGAGAAGAAGGCTATCGTCAGCCTGTGGAGGACACACACACACACACACACACACACACACACACACACAGAGACAGACAGACGGACAGACATCGGTGAGTGTGTCAGCATGTGTGCGAGTTAGAGTGTAAGGCCCAATCCCAGTTCTGTTGTTGTACCCTTCCCCTTCAAACCCGAGTGTGCAGAGGAAGGGCTTGAAAATGTTCCCCTGAGCATTGGGCCAGCACTACAGCACCTGCACACGTCATCACGCCATCATCTCCATCATCTCCTGCTTCATACGAGATGAATGAATGAATGAACTGGTTTAACAGGGACCATGCACACAGTGACATTACCCTCAGGAGGACAGATGCAGTGTGCCGGGTTGTGGCAGGATGGCTGTTTCCCACCTGCAGGCTCTGGACAGGTACACATTAAAGCAATAATATCCCGATAGTTAAAGGGTCCGATTAAAACATTCAGGCATACTCACATATAAAACCCTGACAACTCAACAACATCTCACTCATTGAGCTGATGGACACCGCCTCAGTCAGGCGTGAAGAGCTCTCATAACCTGTAGCTGTGATTATTCTGTTGGGAGAGTGTTTCTATAGATTTGAGGATTTATATAAAGGAGGACTGACCGAACCAGCTCTTACATCTAGACACAATACAGTCCCTACAATACATCGAGACCAGGCGATGGCGACTGCTGGAGTTAGTGCAGTGGTGTTATCTATTAGTGTTTATCTTCAGGACGTCACTGAAGGCAGAAATGCTGTCATCATCATCATCATCATCATCATCAGGATATTTACATTTACATTTAGTCATTTAGCAGATGCTTTTATCCAGAGCGACTTACAAATGAGGACAAGGAAGCAATTTACACAACTATAAGAGCAACAATGAAGAAGTGCTGTAGGCGAGTTTCAGGAGTGTGAAGTGTAAGAAGCAAAGAAGATTAGTAAATTTATTTTATTATTTTTTCTGTAGTACAGTTAGCGGTGGAGTCAGAGAGGCAATTGCAGATGAGGAAGTGTAGTGGAGACTAAATAGTTGAGTTTTTAGTGGTTTCTTGAAGACAGCGAGTGACTCTGCCGTTCTGATGCAGTTAGGGAGTTCATTCCACCAACTGGGCAGATTGAGCGCGAGAGTTCGGGAAAGTGATTTCTTCCCTCTTTGGGATGGAACCACGAGGCGACGTTCATTCACAGAACGCAAGTTTCTGGAGGACACATACATCTGCAGAAGTGAGAGCAGATAAGAAGGAGCAAAGCCAGAAGTCGCTTTGTAAGCAAACATCAGAGCTTTGAATTTGATGCGAGCAGCAACTGGCAGCCAGTGCAAACGGATGAGCAGCGGAGTGACATGTGCTCTTTTAGCTTCATTAAAGACCACTCGTGCTGCTGCGTTCTGAAGCAGGTTTGATAGAGTTAGCTGGAAGCCCGGCTAGTAGAGAGTTGCAGTAATCCAGTCTGGAGAGAACAAGAGCTTGAACAAGGAGTTGAGCTGCATGTTCAGATAAGAAGGGTCGGATCTTTCTGATGTTGTAGAGTGCGAATCTGCAAGATCGAGCAGTTCTAGAGATGTGTCTAGAATATAATGTGTGTATAAGCTCATCAGTGTACTGTGTGTGTGCATATTCACTATATAAACACAGGAAACAGCAGCAGCACTGCAGCAGACGCTGAACACAGCTCATCACAGACACGACGCTGCTCTGACAGGGCACTGCAGTGTCCGTGTGTTGTGCTGCTGCTCTACAGGAGCTGTGATTATGGATTATAGATCGACACATTGAGCGGCTTTATTGGAGTGTTTATTAAAGCATGAGGGTAAAAGACGAGCGCCGTTATCAAGACATTCATCAGGTGCTTGAGTTGTGGATCTCCTGGCGTCCGTGTGCAGGCATGCTGCCGCTGTATTCTGGGTAATGCTCTCAGCCCTTGGTTTGGAGTGTGCTCCTGAAAAATCTCCATTAGAAGGGGGATCTAGCCTCCCTCAGCCCTCCTCCTTCAGGATGAAGAGAAGTGGGACACCCCTACCCCCTCACACGAACCAGCAGAACCAGGCCTGTGGGGAAGGGGAGAACTGGGACTGGGCCTAAGTGTGTGTGTGTGTGTGTGTGTGTGCTTATAGACTACAGCTCTCCCCTGCAGGCCTCCAGATCATCATCATCATCATCATGGTCTACCCAGTCAGCAACACTCTGCCATTAAATCAAACATTAAGCTGTGTGTGTGTGTGTGTGTGTGTGTGTTGAGCTGTAGAACTGAGGGTTGTCCTCTCACACACTCTCCATCGTGGCAGAACACTGCAGTGACCCGCTGACTCAGTGAGTGTGGAGTTGTGTTGCGTGTGCTGCTGATCATCAGCCTGGACGGCCCGGGTACCTGTGCTCTGCATCCTCAATCACACTGTGCTGCTGCTGGATATCTGACATACAGCAGAACACACACACATCTGCAGCAGCTTCAGAAGATCATGTCAGAGATGTGAAAACTCCAGACCCACACACACACACACACATGCTGCATATATTCCCATACACCGAGAAAACACACGACTCAAGCCGGAATGACCCCGGTCTACATGACCGGCGCGAGACAGGAGGTCTGACAGCATCAGGGGAAGCTGCGGGAAGCTGGAATACCGTCCTGTCAGAGGAACAACACGACTGTGTGTGTGTGTGTGTGTGTTTAACCGTGACCTCAGAAGAATAAACATACTGTAAACACACACACACACACACACACACACAGTAAACATACTGTAAACACACACACACACACACACACACACACACACACACAGACTCAGTTTAACCCCTGCAGAGCTGAATAAATGACAGTAACCAGGTGTAGTGCACACAGCGCGTGTTGAGGATCAGTGATGTGCTCAGTTTACTCGAGCTCAGCCTCAGCTGCCGCCTGCTTCAGTGTAAACACAGCAGTAATGTAGAGTAAAGACAGCAGTAATGTAAACACTGCAGTGCTGTTCGTCCACACTATAGTTTCGGCAGTTCTTCAGTTAATCGGATAACCCAGCTGCAGTTACACTAATGACCCAACACTAGTCTACAGCACAGCACAGCCTCTGTTCATCAGCCGAGAGTGGAGGAGCGTCATCAAGCAGAACTGACTGATCTGAGAACAGGATCTCAATATCAGAGATAGCTCACCCCAACACATCATACTGTGTGTGTGTTCAGCAGCTCTGAGATCAGCTGTGAGTGCTCTCTGCAGTTCTCAAGCTGTGTGTGTGTGCGTGTGTGTGTGTGTGTGTGTGTGTGTGTGTGTGAGCAGTGTGGGCCGCATGTAGGACAGCAGCACAGGGTTATTTAAAGACAGCACAGAAGTAGGCTATCCGTCACGTGTGAGTCCCGAAAGGAAACAGAGAAGCGTCTGGAACACAGAGAGGAAGCTCTGATGAAGATGGAGCTCAGCCTGGCCGTCTCTATAAAACACTGCCCTGACAGAAACCAGAGGAGAAACTACAGTAAACACTGTGAAGAGTGTGTGTTTAGCGGGTTCCCCAACACACACACACACACACACACACACACACACACACACACACACACACACACACACACACACTCGAGCAGCAGGAATAATAAGTGCTTTCAGGAATAATGAGGAGATTTGAATTAAAAACAGCTGAATAATCTGGATTCAGGATTCAGGATTGCTCTGCTGGTGTAGGGGAAACTCTCTTCATTCTGCATCATTATTCCTGAAATCAACACTGCACTGTGTAGAAGAGGATGTCAGATGTTTGGACCAGACACAAGACACAAACTCAGAGTAAAAAAGAAGCAGAAGCCTGATATTGCAGTGTCCAGAGCTCTGTGATGAAGATGAATCAGTGTTGCAGTCGTCTTCATCATCATCATCATCATCATCATCACGGTGCTGCATCTGCAGAGGAAACACCAGACTGAACTGCAGCGTCAGCCTTCACTAACACAGCGGTCACCAGACTTATCCCTGGAGGGCCGGTGTCCTGCAGATTTCAGCTCCAACCCTGATCAAACACACCTGAACAAGCTGAGCAAGCTCTTACTAGGTGTACTTAAAACAGCCAGGCAGGTGTGCTGAGGCAAGCTGGAGCTCAACCCTGCAGAACAGCAGACCTAACAGATGATGCTTATATGATGAGAGTAACCCTAACCCTAACCCTGTAGGTCAGAGCAGCTTACCTGTACACCACACACACACACACACACACACACCCCACACACACACACCCCACACACACACACACCCCCCACACACACACACCCCCCACACACACACACACACACACACACACACACACACACCCCACACACACCCCACAGACACACACACACACACACACACACACACACACACAGTAAGAGTGTGTATGATTGTGGAAATGAGCACACACAGCGGCTGCGGCAGGCTCAGGTGCAACAGAGGTTTATTGTCATTGATGCTCTAGACGTCAGCAAGCGTTACGCTATCATCATCATCATCATCATCATCATCATCATCATATCAATATGAAAGTTCACTGCATTAAAGTGCGAGTCCTCACTGTACATCGCTGTCATCTACTAGTGTCTGTAGAGAAGCAGAAGCCCTTGAGTTCAAACTGCAGAGATGAACGTAAACTACAGAGAGCGGAGGATCCCCGACTCTTCATCATCATCATCATCATCATCATCTAAAATCAGCCCGGTAACGTGGCGCTGCTCGTGTTCTGGTCAGTAAACTCATGCGTTTAGTGTCGGCTGTGTGTTACAGCTCAGACTCAGTCAGTGTGTGGAGCGGGAGAGAAACAGCAGGAAACAAACCCGGAACAGCCGACAGCAGAGTCCAGACGCACACAAGAGTCCCGCGGATCCGGCTGTGCATAGAGGAGTAAAGCACTTATGGTGAATCTGCAGACGGAGACGCAGGAGCGCACGCACACACACACACACACACATACACACACACACGCAGCTCACACTATCTGTGCAGCAGCACGAACGCCTCCAGCCGCTCCGGGATGCTCCCGCGGTACACCAGCCGGTGCCGGATGATGGCGCGGGCCGCCAGGCACTGCAGCGTGGTGTGGTTGATGGGCTGGATCAGGCTCTTGGCCAGCTGCGTGTGGTCCAGCAGGTCGCAGGCCGTCTGCTGCAGGGCGTTGGTGCTGTCGAAGTGCGTCCCGCCGGAGATCAGCAGCTTCATGATGTCCGGGTGGTTGTTGGACGCCGCCACGTGCAGCGGGCTGTTGTCGTCCAGGTCTCGGCTGTTGACGTCCGCTCCGCACTCCAGCAGCACCGACGCCACCTGCAGCGACGGGAACTTGCAGACGGGGTAGCGGCCCACGCAGGTGGTGTTGCGGTCCACGGCCAGGTGCAGCGGGCTGAAGCCGTTCCTCCCGCAGGCCTGCAGCTTCAGGAAGCGGTAGATGGTCTCCTTCTTGTGCTGGTCCTGCTCCGGCGAGCACGGCAGCTTCTCCAGCAGGCAGATCAGGTGCAGGATGATGGACAGCAGCTTGCTGAGCTGCGCCGGGTCGGGGTCGGGGCTGGGCCGCGGCTGCTTGACGGCGCGCTCGATCTCCAGCACGCTGCGGCACAGGATCTCCATCAGCTGCTGGAAGGACACGCCGGCGCCCAGCAGGCCTTTGGCTCGGTCCTGCAGCATGAAGGAGAAGAGCTCGGCGAAGGACAGCAGGCTGCTGGCGGTCATGGGGCTCAGCGGCTCCAGGTTGCTCTGCTGCATGTCCAGCGCGTACTTCCACAGCCGGATGCAGCGCTCGAAGTTCCCCGAGTCGGCGTAGACGGCGCCGCGGTAGCGGATGTAGTAGGAGGTGTCGGGGTGGGCGGGGCCCAGGATGCGCTCGCGGATCAGCAGCGCCTGCATGCGCATGTCATCGGGGTCTGCGATCAGCCCGTCCAGCTCCTCCGCCGTCGACACCTCGCGGCTGCAGTCGTACGCCGGCTCCGGCTCCAGCGGCTCCTCCCTCCGCATGCAGTCGGCCTCGCTGTGCCGCAGCTCCATCGCCCGCTTCCAGTACTGCAGCGCCCCCAGCAGGTCACGCTTCTTGTCCACAAACGTGGCTCCCAGCAGCTCCAGCGCACTGATGCGCTCCGCCAGGCCCGTCTGCGGGTGCGCCGTCAGGAAGTCCACGATGTTGGTGTGACCCGTCACGCTGGCCGACAGCAGCGGCGTCATCCCGTAGCCGTCCTTCTCCATGCTGGCGCCGAACTTCAGCAGCATCTTCATGATCTCCAGGCTCCCCGATTCTGCGCAGTCGTGTAGAGCGGTGTTTCCTTCAGGACAGAACACACACACACACACACACACACACACACACACACACACATCATTAAACACAGCAGCAACACAGAGCAGTCTAAGAGCACAGTGATCAGGAACAGTTCAAACACACAAGCTTCATGGTCCAGTGACGTCTAATTAAAGTCGTGTTTTAGTCAGTGTGTCAGTCTTCAGGATATCTATAATCCTGTGTGTCCAGTTCACCTGTAGCAGGTATGAGTCTGATGTACACGTCTACAGTCTGCAGTTCGTCTCTGCCGCCTGAATGGATCAGGGATTGTTTGCCGTCTACTTATACTTCAGTTTCTCCTGACCAATCAAATGCCCTCTAATGTCTGACATGTCGGCGGTTCACATCATGCCGTGTGAAATGAGTTCTGACTGGAAATAACATCAGCGATCACCTACAGCCAATCAGAGAGCAGCATCCGCTATTGTGTGTGTGTGTGTGTGTGTGTGTGTGTGTGTGTGTGTGTGTGTACCTGCAGGCCAGCGGGAGGATGAGGAGAAGTGAAAAGTGCTCATCTTCAGTTTATTAGGACCCAAGAAATGGAGGATAAACTAGTGTATATTAGGCAGCAGCAGTGTGTCTGTTTTAAGTGTCATGAGCAAAATCACAACCGGGTCAAAAGAGAAAAAGGTGAGGAGGATCCGCTGATTCCCTTCAAACCCAGATGAGCACATATGTACATTTACCATTAAACAGCAGAGTCACTCG